TTCTTTCTCTGGGTGGAGCTTTTGTCATGTAGGGAACTGGGGCAAGCAAATTTGGGTGTCTTTGCACCTGGGCAATGGTTTTACTACCCCAAGGTTCCAGGTGGGGATTTGTGCAAACCTCTCCATGGAGCGCCTGCAGGGGAGAACACAGGGGAGAAGTGGTTACAGCTCCCACTTAGGGAACACCATGACCCTGATCCGGGTACTAGGGAGTTGTGCCTCTTCACCACCCCTCCCCAGAATGGCTCCTCTGGTAGAAATGAGGTGCCAATGTGAAATAGTCAGCAGCTCCTACTGTATCTGCCACGATGACAGAAGCACTCGTCATATTTAACTATATCTTACTTGCTGTGTCTCTAATTTCTAGACATGTTAAATGTTTTTAAAAATTATTTTTTGCTATTTATGCTTGATGAGCTATGGAGGAAGTCTGCAGAGTTTTGTATATACCATTTTGGAAGTCTTTTTTCCACTCAGTGTGTTCTTAGCCAGTTTTACACTGCTCCAAGTCCCTTTTTCTTCAGATGGCATTTTGACTTAAGACACATAACAGACTGGATGGAAAGTCAACTTGAATTGTTAAGTTTTAGCTGTTGTTTTAGTCATTATACTGTGGGAAATGTACGTAATCTTCCTGAATCAATGTTGCAAAATTTAAGAACATTAAAATGTTTAAACAAGAGTGGGAATGTGGCTTAGTGGTAGAGCGCTTGTCTAGCATGCATGAAGCCCCGGGTTCGATTCCTCAGTACCACACACACAGAAAAAGCCATAAGGGGTGCTGTGGCTCAAGTGGTAGAGTGCTAGCCTTGAGCAAAAGAAGCTCAGGGACAGTGTCCAGGGAGGCCCTGAGTTGAAGCCCCAGGACTGGCAAAAAAAAAAAAAAAATGATTCTTAAATGCTCCTCAGTCCCTTCAATATTTGTCTCTTTGGGTTACAATGTGGTGTTAATCACTTGTCAGCTTGGGTTGGCCATTTTTCCTGTGGACATCTCTCTGTATACTCTCCATATTTCCACCCCAGTGAAACCTTGGATTACTGTGGGTTCCCTGAATATAGAAGGTGGTTTGAGGGACATTTACCCCACTACTCCCCAGATTCATTACATGTGACTTGGAGAATTCTGGTGTTCTTTGTGCCTGGTTCTAATGCCAGTCTTTACTGCTGACAAGCACAAGCCAGGTGAAGTGCAGTGCTGCCCTGCAGGGCTGCAGGGATGTCTTGTTGCCTCTTCAGAGCACTCAGTGGAAAGGGAAGTGTCAGACCTTACGCAGTCCTGCCCCCACCCTCCTAGACCGTGAGTGCAGCCATAGTCCATACTCACATCCTCTGCACTGGGTCCTCAGTTTCTATGAGAGAAAATCAGATTGTGTTCTTTGAACATTCTGTGTACTAATTAAATGTCTAGACTAGTGAATGGCCACCTGCATCTGGAAGAGGGATCAATTTGGGAGAAAAAAGTTATTGTGGTAGGAGAGAGACTAGTAAAGATGTGTAATTCTGACAAGTAGAGCTTTGCAAATCACTGTCTCGGGAAGTAAGGCCAAGACTTGGCTTACATACTCAATATTTTCAAGACAGTTAGAACAAAGCCAAGAGTACTGAAACCATGATACGTGACCCATCTTTGTTTTCTTACCAACATCCAGAGCTCACTTTAGTTCATCAACTGTGGTCAATCTTCCTTTCACTGGAGTTTGAGGGGAAAAAAAAAGACTCCGTTTTTTCCAGGGAGAATTTGGGTAAACAGTGTTACCTTACTGAAGAGGACAGAATCTAGACTTATGTTGAGAGAAATTATTGTTAGAAGTCAGAGTACTGTTTCCAAGTTCCAAAGGCCTGTGTGCGAGGGATGGAAGATATTGTGAGACGATGTCCAAACCTGATTTTTCTTTGTGAGATGGGTGAAGTCACTCACATGCATATGTGAAGGCTTTCACCCAAAGACTAAGGTTTTCAGGGGAGTTGGGAAGTTTCCAAGCAGTTCTGAGGTGGGTTTAGAGGGTGACAAGGGAGAAAGTCTTGACTCTGTAGAAGATTGATAAGGAGACACTTCAAGGACCAAACAAGGGAGCCTCAGGCCTTCTTACCATGTGCCCAGATATGGGCTTTTCAGCTTTCAGCCACCATATGTCACACTGACGGAGTGAGGTTTGTTTGTTTGTTTGTTTACTATGGGAGGACCATTCGGGGACATAAGGAAGTGGCACAGATCCTGAGATGGCTTGAGGGAAGTAGGTCAGAGAGCAGAAGGCTCCGGAGAACATTGTCCCCAGCTTTTTTGCTGGTGGTTGCCATTTTAAATTCTTACATTTAAGGGTTTATCTCATTTGAAAAACTTGTACCTTAATAGTTAATTATATTTTGATGCATTTTTTCAATCATAGCCCACTGTTGCAGTGTTTCCCTGTGTTCAGCTGTCTTGTAGAGAATTTGTTGTGTTCCTCATTCTCAACTATAGAAATAATAAACCCAGAGCTACCAGTGCTCACACACTTTCGGAGCTGCTGAAGATTGTGGCTAGTATCTCCTAAGAGGTATCAACAAAGGGGAATTCAGGACCTCATACTTTCTAGGCAGGCATTCTACCACTTAAGCCGTTCTGCAAGATGTTTTCTGCGAGGATGTGGGGGAAAAAGAACACTACTACACTGCTGGTGGGAATGTAAACTGTTACAACCACTGTGGAAGGCAGTTTGGAGATTTGGCAAAAAAAAAACTAAATATATAACTACCCTATGATCCAGCACTACAACTCTAATAAGACGTTTATCCAAAAGGTTACAGACAGGATATAATAAAAACACTTGCATACACATGATCATTGTTGCACTATTCACAACAGCCAACTTAAGGAAACAGCCAAAATGCCCTACAATGGACAAATGGATCAAGAAAATTATATGTGTATATATATATATATATATAGTGGATTTTTAGACATCCATCAGGAAGAATGATATTATGTGATTAGCAGGGAAATGAATAGACTGGGAAAATTATGTTAAGTAAAGTAAGTCAAGCTCAGGTAGACAAAGGATGCATGTTTTCTCTCATATGTAGAAGTTAAACCTAAGTATAAATATACATACAGGGTCATATGCATATATACACAAACATATTAACTAAAATATGGTATGTGCAGAAGAAGATTCCAGTGGTGTAACTCCCTTGAACAGCTAACTTTCACTTTAACAAAATGAGTCCCAGGAAACTAGAACATATGTTGTGGAGGAAGGGGAAGGTGTCAGACTAACGGAGAGAGGAAGGGTGGGAAAATCCAGTTACAATATTCAGTGTATATATGTGACAATGAACCAGGTTAACTAGGCAATGGTGAGAATGGTGAAAAGAGTAATGCTGATCAAGATGCATTGTACTCGCAGTCTATATGTTGAACTGAAACTCTTGTTACAACTACTTAAAGATAACTTTAAAAAGACCTTTTTGCAAGTTAGAGTCTTTACATCCAATCTGGCCTGAATTACAGTCCCTATTTGTACAGCAGTGCTTAGAACTGCACAGACTAATTGGTTGAATGTTTTTTATTGTGTTTTTTTTTTAATTTTTGAGTTATGACTCCTTGATCACCTCCCAAATAGGTTTTCAGGTTTCAGCAACCACACTTGATGGACAGAAGAGTTTCTTACTTCAGAGGAACTTAATAAACAAAGAGGCTGGCAAGGTCTGGTCAAAATTTTCTATTTTCTGAGTGTTACTGCCATAAAACACAAAGTGACATGTTATCTCGAATTGCCTATGAAATACAGGTTGATCACTGACAGAAGTGATTGATTTTGCATAGATCTCTGTCGTTCTATACCAAAATCTTTAGAAAGGGTCTAAATGTATGATGCAAATAGCAAAAGCAAATGTTATACAAGAATTTGATTGTGAGACACAGAGAAGCCACATTTTTGGAGGATGAATCAGGAATTTTTATTGGAAAGCTGGCAACTTTGAGTGGACACATATCTCCAAAACTGCTTGCAGCCTCCAGTACACTTAATACTGTTAGGAAACTGAGCCATAGGGTAGTAGTGTAAAGAAAGAGCAGAAAAACATCTCAACAAACCAGATCACCTCTAATGGAGAGTTGAAGAGGATTGCTATACTGACCTGAGAAGAGTCAGTAAACACAAGACAGCACAACGGCAGCTAAGGTGGTCAGGGCCTAGATAGGGTTATAGTTAGGGGGCAGGGTCTCAAGTACATATAGGTATAGGTCTGGCAGGTCCAGTTGTCCAAGTTCCCGCTCCTGCCTCTAGGAGTTCAGGCACTCCCTATCACCTGGAGATGGGGGAGGGACTTCACCTCCAAGAGTTTTTGGAAATTCCCTATCCACCACATTGCCAAAATGTGAAACAGTACCCTGTTTCACAAGGAGAAACCTTCTGCATGGGTCGGGTCTTTGACACATTAAGAATCTACTGGGGCTCCCATGCCCTCTCCCTCTCCCCCTTCCCTCTCCCTCTCCCTTTCTTTCTCCCTCTTTCTTTCTCTCTCCCTGTAAAAGCACTCATACTTTGCTAGAATGCGCCCCTGCCCTTTTGTTTGTCTGCTTACCTGCTTGTTTACTTACTCAGTAAAGCTCTGTCAAGTTTCCTTGCCATCAAAAAGAAAAAGAAAAGAAAGAAACCACTTGGGCAGCGAGGTGGTTCAGGCCACCTGTTTTGCTCTATTCTGGTTATCAATAGTAACTGTTTGCAGCCTTACTGGGCCTCATCTGCACCAGCTGCACTGTTAGTGTTGGGTAGGAATAAAGCCCAGCAGGAGACATCACAGTGAAGCTCACCACAGGGGTAGCTCACAAGCATTGTTCATAATTATCACCACAATGTTGGCTTCTTCCTGCATCAGCTCAAAATCATGGCTCTTCATGTTTGTTCTTTCTATATTGAAATGACATTGTTTATGATGTATTTGAGTTTAAGTTAACATGTACTTTACATGGTACTTAGTTGTCACTGTTTTTAAAGAAGTGACTTTCTATATTTTAGGTATCGGATTTGGTAATAATTTTGAATTATGACAGAGCAGTAGAAGCCTTTGCGAAGGGTGGAAACCTGACACTGGGAGGAAATTTTACTGTGGCAGTTGGGCCTTTGGGAAGGTGAGCCATATAAAATATTTTGGAAGTGAGAATGAATCAGCCAAATTATGATTTATGTGTCTACAAGAGGATAAGCCATCACACACACACAAAAAATCACACGCATACACAGAAAAACAAACATACTAGCTGGTGAGATACACTAGAAAAATCTCAAGCAGAACTCACCAGAAGAAACAAGTTTCAGAAATACAAGCCATGGCTTCTATTGAAATTGAACACAGAAAATTTACCTTGAGTTTGACAAATCCAAAACAAGTCAAATTTTACTAATTAAAAAATGACAGCTTTGTTCAAGAGAGAAAAAAATTTTCTTAAGGTAAATCATGAAAATTTGAAATGGCTAAGCCTTACTTAAACAATGTTTACAGTACTTTAGTTGTATTTTCCTTTTCTGCTGGTGGAATATTGTTCCTAGGTTACTAAGCGAGGTATAAATTAAACAGTAAAGCCATGGCACAGATGTGCAGGTTGCCACTGAGATGCGTTTGCTTGTGTGGAGATTCCAGCTCTCCATCTCCCTCCAGTGTGACCCTCACATGCTGTCATTCCATTCTGCAATGATTCCACATGGGGTGTTCTTGCTGGCCCGTCTTCTGTCTAGGCCACATTAAAATGCTAGCATAGCCATCAGAAATTCCCCCCTCAGTAGATGAATGGATCAAGAAAATGTGGTATATATACACAATGGAATTCTATGCCTCCATCAGAAAGATTGACATTGCCCCATTTGTTAGGAAATGGAAAGACTTGGAATAAACTATATTAAGTGAAGTAAGCCAGTTCCAAAGAAACATAGGTCCCATGGTTTCCCTTATTTGCAATAACTAGTATATATCTGAGACAAGCAGAAAAGGTCAGATAAGTTGATGTTAGGTGAAATGAACCCCAAGATAACTTTTCAAAGGTTTTTTTCTTTCTTGTGATTGTTTCTAACATATTTATAAGATGATTTCTTTGTTGCTTTGTATGTCCCTCCCCCATGGTATAACCCCTGCTTTCACTATATTTGATGTTGGTATAATTTGTGGAGAGGAAGGGAAAAAACAAATCGTTCAAATAGGGATACAGGTGGACCTATTACAACAATTACTTTGGGGGTGGGGAGGAGGCAGAGATGGGAAGGGGAAACAATGGAGGAGGCAACAATGCTTGATAAGAAATGTACTCATTCCCTTGCCCATGTAATTGTAACCCCTCTGTACGGTATTTTCACAATTTTAAAAAAAAAATTCCCCCCTGTGAGACATATGGAAGCCAAGGCACAATGAGAGATTTCTCGTGGCTAAGTTCAGACTATTGAAGCGTTCATCTGACTCCTGCTGTCCCTTCCAGGAACCTGGAAGGAAATGTGGCCCTGAGAAGCTCTGCAGCTGTCTTTACATACTGCAAATCAAGGGGACTCTTTGCTGGCATTTCCCTAGAAGGGAGCTGTTTGATTGAAAGGAAAGAAACTAATCGGAAGTAAGGGCAAGTCAAAGTAATTTTAATTGATTTAAAGCATGTATGATGAGAAGACCATACCTTCAAAGTTGATACAGTTTTTATGAGTCTATGGAATACACATATTTTTAAATGCAACAAAATATGCCCCTATGTACACACTTTATATTTTAGAATTTAAGGTAAAAGTATTGTATTCTTATAGAAAGTTCAGAAAAAAGACAAAACATTCTCTACCTCTTTAAGACTGATTTTACATTTTACTTTTTCTACTTCTCAACATCTTCCTAAGCATGATTTCCCTTGGCTTTGTCAAATATGATTATAATCATGATACATGCTCAATTGTCTGTGTTTTGTTCATTTAGAATAAGATTCATAAGCATAAGTTCTTCACTTATTAATGTAATTTTCTACTAACTGAAGACATCATAAACCTATATTCTGTCAACTTTTATAGAGGACCTAGTAAGAAAGCTTATGTCTCATTATGACAGACTTCTTTCTGTTTTCACACTCATCCTTTGTCTTGGCTCTGTGTCAACTAGAGAGCAATTTTTATTTTAAAAAAATTTTTTGAATAAAAGATTTGGAAGCTCATAGAAGCTGAAGGGAAAAGTTTGACTTGATGTCTGGATATTTTTCCCCACATTTGCTCTTAGAAATCATCACTGTGGCTGGGCGCTGGTGGCTCACGCCTGTCATCCTAGCTACTTAGGAGGCTGCGCTCTGAGGATCAGGGTTCAAAGCCTAACCCAGGCAGGAAAGTCTGTGAAACTCTTATCTCCCAATTAATCACCAGAAAACCAGAAGTGGCACTATGGCTCAAGTGATAGAGCACTAGCCTTGAGCTAAAGAGCTGAGGGACAACGCCCAGACCCAGAGTGTAAGCCCCACAACTGAATATATATATATATATATATATATATATATATATAATACTATATATATATATATATATATGAAAAGAAATTGTCAGTGTGTAATGCATGAGGCACAGGGAGGGTGAGCAGCTGAGAAGGACAGTAGGATTCGGGGACCTGGAGACTCAGGTTCAAGGGATCCGGTAAGGTGGGGGGATAGGACCCAGAGGGACAGCCTCTCGTACACCCAGGGTGCAGGAGAGCCTCTACCAGACTCAATGCATTTGTAATGTTACAACTTGAAACCACCAAACTTGGAAACAGGAAGAAGTGATCATCTGATAGACTCAACAGCCATGTTTTCACTTGTGGTTTCCTCAGTTTGAGAAGTATAACATGCATAATTTTAGAAATTTCCTATTCTAAGCCTTTCCATTTCCTAACAAATGGAAAGGCTTGGAAAAAATTATATTAAATGAAGTGAGTCAGGCCCAAAGAAATATAGGTCCCATGGTTTCCCTTATTTGCAATATCTAGTATATGTCTGAGTCAAGCAGAAAAGGTCAGATAAGGTGATGTTAGGGAAATGAACCCTAAGATATATATTCAAATGTCTTTTTTCTTGCATGTGATTGTTTCTAACACATTTATAAGATTATTTCTTCGTTGCTTTGTATGTCCCTCCCCCACAGTATAACCCCTGCTTTCACTGTATTTGAGGTCGGTATAATTTGTGGAGGGGAAGGGGAAAAACAAGTCGTTTAAATAGGGATACAGGTGGATCCATTGCAACAATGAGATGTACAAGTTGTTATGTTGAAAATGAACTTTACAACTTTGGGGGGGGACGGGGAGGGTTGGAGGGGGGGGGGGGGCGGGGGGAGGATGGGAAGGGATGGGAAGGGGAAACAAAGGAGGAGGCTACAATGCTTGATAAGAAATGTACTCATTATCTTGCCCTTGTAATTGTAACCCCTCTGTACAGTATTTTCACAATAAAAAAAAAAATAAAGTAAATTAAATAAATAAAAAGAAATTTCCTATTCTAGCCTTTGGCTATTTCTGCTTTAGTTCAACTTAATCCTGGATTAACTGAAACAACTCCTTGGAAAATTTCATTCAATTTTGATTTAAAAATGGACATTTTAAAGAAATTTCATATATGTGAAAACTAATTTTATAGCAAGTTTAAAAAGTAAAAACCTGTGAAAATGTAGCTGCTTGTATGTATATTTGTGTAATCCCTATGAATGTGGGGGGAATAGGTGTGTTAGTGTGTGTTGTATAGAGCTTAGAGGCAAGTTGAAGAATTGAACATGAGGTTTAAAATGTGGTAGGCATGAGATGAGAGTGATCATACATATTTACACATCATGTGTTTCACTCTAGAAAATACCTTTGTATTAATAGACTTGCTCTTTAGTTTAAAGAAATATTCTTTTTTTTAAATATTCTTAAATCTATGTTCTTACTAGATTTTACTGTCAGGACATTCGAGCTTATGACATTTTATTTGGAGATATTCCACGGCCTGCTCAAGCAGAAGATCTTTATGAAATTCTTGATTCCTTTACTGAAAAGTATGAGAGTGAAGGACAACGAATCAACTCCAGGAAAGCAGCCAGGGAGCAGAGGAAGGTGTGGTGGTATCTACTTTCACTGTTTCTTTCTGTGGTCCCAGCAATTTCTTTCCCTGGTATCAGGTTACTCTGTCAAACTGGACTTCTTTTGTGACTTATTTACATAATGTCCTGGTTAAAAATGTCCTGGGACTTTGTCATTGTCTCTGGAGAGTTTAAGGACAGTTTCCCTATGAATGAAACCTGGTGATGTTAATGATTAAAACTAATACCAACTGCTGCCACAGTCAGCCCTACCAGGCTTTTGTTGAAATGCTAAATGAAACCAAAACTAAAAGGTGGATGTTGACCTGACCACATTTGGGCTTCCTCTTCCAGTTCTATCATGCGGAGCTGAAAAGCCTACACGTGAGCTTTCAGGGTACCTCCTTAGCAGTGTGTGGGATGGAATCTGCTTCACAAACTTGTGAGAAACAGAAAGTGTTCTGTGCTCAGTGACTTAAGACCAAGTTTAGAATTGTATTTTTTTATTACTAAACAGAAGGGTTACAGTTACATAGAATTGTATATATCCATCCTTGTTTTCCCCAGGCTAAAGAATTACCTCCAAAACCATCATCAAGACCACAGCAGTCATCTGGAGTAGGCCAGCTGACCTCTGGCTCACAAAGTAAATATAAGTACTGTTGTTAAGCAATCAAGCAATATTGTTAAACTTTCAGAAAGCATAATGAATGGGTATTTAAGAGAAAAGTAAATATTCTGTCTCTTTTAAATCATGAGTCATGTTTTCAGTCCTATAATTTATGAAAACTTCTGTTCTCATTCATAAGATGCTTTCTTTAAGTCTACCTTGAGATTTATCTGTAATTTTTTAATTTATTTCTTCTGAAGGATATTATCCTAGTTATTTAAAAAGGGAACAGTGTCTTCATGCATACTCATAGATGTACATTTCCGAATATTTATTTTACTATACATTCTGGGAACTCAGGATCATGAGATGATTTTCTTTTCTTTTCTTTTCCTTATTTTCTTTCTTTCTTTTTGTGCTGCTTAAGATTGAACTCAGGGATTCTTTGTGTTTGTAGGCAAGAGTTATAAAACCTGAGCCACATCCCTCAATTCTCCTGATTTTGAGGCAGCCTCACTAACCTTTGACCAGGCTGGCCTTGAGTTGGCCATCCTTTTGTGCCTCCCAAGTAGTTGTAGTTGTAATTGAAAGTGTACACTGCTTTACAGTTCAAGATATCTTTTAAGTATTTGAAATTTATGAAACACGGTTTTCTTCTTTACCTGTCTTTTTATATCATTCATTTTTATGATTCACTCTTAAAATTCTCTATTTCATGAATAAAAGTTGCCAGTTAATAGAATTATGTCAAAGTAGGAAATCTTTCATGTAAAGGTTATTATCCAAGAGGCATTAATCTGTGACTTTGAGAAACACAAAAATGACTTTAATTTAGATCTTGCCTTAAAAACCTCAGTATAGAAACTGTAACTATTGCCAGGTGCTGGTGGCTCACGCCTGATCAAGGTTTAAAGCCAGCCCGGGCAGGAAAGTCTGTGAGAATCTTATCTCCAATAAACCACCCTGAAAACTGGAAGTGGTGCTGTAGCTCAAATGGTAGAGTGCTAGCCTTGAGCTGAAGAACTCAGTGACAGCATCCAGGCCCAGAGTTCAAGCCCCACAACTGGAAAAAAAAAAAAAAAAAGAAACTGTAACTATTAACTATTATTAGTGGGAGAAGCAACAGAATGAATACTAAAGGTCTTCAGAGATCAGCAAGCTTATTATCCTCTCCTTTATGTCTTATACCTATTTTTTTCCCAGTCTTCATTGTTCAGCAGCTAGACTTCTTATAAATATATTACTTTCTTTCTTCACTTTGAATAAAGTTGAGGAAGAATCTGATTGACTTATCAGAATTTATACAGAGAACATTATATCATAATTTGATCATAATTATTAATATAATTATATAGTAATTAGAAGTCACATACTTAGTGATCATCCAAAGAAACATCTATCATCATAATAATATAGTATTATTTAAATATTTTTCTGTTGCTTTGGTGATGATTAAAATTTCTGTCTCTATCTCAGGACTATAAAAGAATTTAGTTACATTATTATAAAATGCCTCCTCCCAGCCTTGCCTAGTTTTAACAAGAACCATTCTACTATTGTTATTGTGGTAGCACATGTAGTCCTAGATTCTTGGAAAGTGGAGGCAGGAGGATTGTTTGAGCCCAGAAGTTCAAAGATAGCTTCATAATGAGATTCTGTCTCCAAAAAACAAACAATATTTTTTCTCTCTTTGCACTGTATCTATAACAAGGCAAAAGGAACACTGAAATATAATTTTGATGTTCTAGCTATAAGAAATAGCCATTCTATGAGCACAAACTAATTTTAAGAAATCTCATCCCATCTATCTATTGAGATGTATTTCAAATGAAAACTTAGTTTTATGTTTAGTAAACTTACAAATTAAGCATATATATACATATATACTCAGAGTAATATGTATTGTAGAAAGTATTACATAATAAAATAATATAAACAATATAAAATCTTCGGGTGAATGAAAGACATAGGGTTCAAGGTTGAATGTGAGCCTTCTTTATTCTGACTTCTAGAATAGCAATTGCTTTTCTTTAGTGATAATGAGATTTGGATCACTGGAGTTTGTCTTATTAAAGAATAAGATGTGATTCATATCTCCATGAGTGCCTTATTCCTGTAATTCTAGCTATTCAGGAGGATGGTATTAGAGGATTGAAGCCAGGCTTGGCAGAAAAGTCCATGAGACCCTATTTCAATAGAAAGAGCAAGGTGTGTTACCCCAGTTATGGTGGGAAGTATATCTCAGAATCTAATGTCTCATGCCAGCCACAAAGAAAGACTTGTCTCAAAATTACTCAGAGCAAAAGGAGTGAAGGTGCTGCTTAAGCAGTAGAGCACCACGCTCAGGAGCAGTAAGACCTGGATTCAAAATCCAGGAGTACTGCTGGGTACCAGTGGCTCATACCTATAACCCGAGCTGCTCAGGAGACTGAGGTCTGAGGATCCAGGTTCAAAGCTAAACCTGGGCAGGAAAATCTTTGAGACTCATGTCTTCAGTCAGCCAGCGAAAAGCCAAAAGTTGAGCAGTGGCTCACTTGGTAGAACACTAGCCTGTTACACAAAAGTCAGGGACAGCACCTGGGCCCTGAGTTCAAGACCCAGGACCAACTAAATAAATAAATAAACCCATTTGTACTGCCAAAAATAGACGAAAAAGAAAAAAATAGTTTTCAGTCCCCAAGTCCATGACTTCTAAACATTCTTGCTTGTTTAATCCTAAAATAATTTTAGACAATGTGTATTCATGCAGCTATATAGTTTTTAACTGACACCTAAAGATCAGTTAGGCTTGATAGTTTTAAAAAACATATTTGCCGCATATTTTTATAGGAAATATTTCAATTAAGGAATAACATGTGTATGTATGTGAGTGTGCATGTGTGTAAGTACCAGGCGTGGACTTAGAGCCTCATGCTCTTGTTTAGCTCCCTTGATCATAGCTGGCACTCTACCACTTGAGCCATGCCTTTAGGAAGGGTTAGGCCTGCTTGTGTATTTTATAAATTTTAATAAGCTTTCCAAATCTTCTCCCTTTCTTCCAGGTTACAGAAATGAATATAAGCTGTATCCTGAGCTTTCTGGATATCACGAGAGAGTTGGTAAATGAAAAATAGTTCATTGAAAGTGATTCATAGCCATCTTACAATCACAGTTTTTCTTGTTTTTACATTTTTATTAGCATTTGTTAGCTATACAAGTTTTTATTTTGAATCTTCCAAATATCTATGTAATTTACTTTGATAAGACACACCCCTCTGCCCTTCCTCATCCCCCTCCTTTTCTTCCCCAACCACTCTCAACAAGTTTCATTGGGGCTGGGAAGGTGGCTCAGTGGTAGAGCGCTTGCCTTGCATGCCTGAGGCCCTGGGTTCGATTCCTCAGCATAAGCAAAAAAGAAAAAAGCCGGAAGTGGTGCTGTGGCTCAAGTGGTAGAGCGCTAGCCTTGAGCTGAAGAGCTGAGCTGAAGAGCTGAGGGACAGCACCCAGGCCCAGAGCTCAGGTCGCACAACTGGACCCAAAAAAAAAAAAAAAAAAACAAGTTTCATTGTTTCATTACACATATATACATTCATTATACATAAAGTATATGTACAATGTGTATGCATTATACATAAAATATTTTGACCATCTTACCTTCTTTAACCCTTTCCATTTGTGCTCCTTCCTCCCATCCTCACTCCAGACAGGTCCTATGTTACATTCCTGATCTTCATTCACTTTTTGTTGTTGTTGGTGGTGGTGGTGGTGGGTGGTAGTGGTGGTCTTGGGGCTTGAACTCAGAGCCCTGGTCCTGTCCCTGAGCATTTTTGCTCAAGGCTAACACTCTACCACTTGATCCACAACTTCACTTCTAGCTTTTTGCTGGTTAATTAGAAATTAGTATATCCTCTTTTCCTTCCCAGGCTGGTTCAAACTGCATTCCTCAGATCTAAGCCTCCAGAATAGCTAGGATGACAGTTATGAGCCAGCAGCACCCAGCTCAAATTTATTTCCTTAATCCACTCATCAGTTTTAGACCATTTGGGCTGTTTCCATAATAAGGAGATTGTAAGCAGTGCTGCATGTGAGTATGGGTGTGCACGTGCCTCTTTTGCCTCCTGACTTAAATTCCTTCTGATAGTTACCCAGGAATGGTATTCGTGTATTGTATGGTTTGAGTAACTTCCATACTGATTACCATAGTGGTTTTATTGCTTTACGTTCTCACCAACAGTGGGAATAAAAATTCCCTTTCTTCCACCTCATTGCCAGCAGTTCCAGTTGCTGTGTTGTTGATAATGGTCATTCTGACTAAGGTGAGATGAGGTATCATTGTTGTTTGGGTATATATTTCCTTTGTGGCCAGGGATGTTGAGCACTTCTTCATGTATTTGTTGAGATGAGGTATCATTGTTGTTTGGGTATATATTTCCTTTGTGGCCAGGGATGTTGAGCACTTCTTCATGTATTTGTTGGACTTCTTTTGAGAATTATCTGTTCAGTTCTATTTGCTTTCTCAGCCTGTTGACTGTTGGAATATAGAAAGGGTACTGATTTTTTTATGTTGGTTCTGAATCCTGCTATTTTGTAAAAGATGTTTATCAAATCTAGGAGTTTTGCTTGGAATATTTAGGTTCTGTTATGTGTAGGATCATAGTCTTCAAGTAGAGATACTTTGAATTTTTCCTTTCCCATTTTGATCCCTTTTATTTCTCTTGTTTTATTGCTATTGGTAAGAATCCCAGTAATATAATAACAAGGTATGTAGAGGGCACCTTGGTCTTATTCCTAACTTGGGGAGATATTATTTCTGGTTTTCTCCATTTAGTATGTTGTTCAGTATAGGTTTGTCATAAATAGTCTTCAATGTGTCATGGTACATTTCTCATATTCCTAGATTCCTTATATTGTTTATCATAAAAGGCTAAGGCTTTTTGTATCAGTTGATTCTTGTCTGTGATTCTGTTTCTGTGTTGTTTTACATTTATTAATTCACATATATTGAATCAGCTTTACATACCTGGAATTAAGACAATTTGATTTGGCACATAGCATGCATTAAACATAAGCATGATTGTTTGGGTAAGTTGTTGCTCTTTTTGTTGTCTCCATATCTGTGTATAAAATGAGTGAAATACTGACTTTATAGAATTTATTTGGTAGTGTTCTTTCCCTTCATCTCTCATTGAAAAGCTTGAGAACTGTTGGTGTTCGTTTCTTTTTAGACATAGAAGTTAGTGGTGAATCTGTCTGGTCCTGGCTTTTCTTTGCTGTAAGACTATTATACTGCTTCAGTCTCATTCCCTTTTTATAGATAGCTTCTTGGTTTAATTTTGGTAGGTCAAGTGCATTTAGAAATATATCTACTTCTTCAAGATTGTCCAGTTTACTTGAATATAATTTCCAAAATATTTCTTCATGACTTCTGAATGTTCTTTTTTATTTGCTGTGATAATCCCCATTTTCATCTTTTGTTTACAAAGTCTGTCCCCTCCTTGTCTAATCAGATTGACTACAGATTAATCTATCTTATTTTTCCCAATAGTCAACTTTTTTGTTTCATGGATTCTTTAATTAGATTTTTAAGGCTCTATTTCATTGCTTTTGGCCCTGATTTTTATTCTTTCCATCTGCTAATTTTGAGCTTGACTAATTCTTGCTTTTCTAGAAGCTCAAGGCATATTATTAGACTATATATTTGAGATAACACTTTTCATTTTGATGTAGGAGCTTATAGCTTAATCTTTCCTCTGAGCATTACCTTTGCTATATCCCAAAGGTTCTGCTAGGTTTTATTTTCTTTTCCGTGGAGTCTAAGAACTTTAGGATTTCTCCCCTTTTTTATTTAATGATCCACTCATTATTCAATAATGTGTTATTCTGTCTCTATGTGTTTGAATATTTTCTGTAGTTTCTTTTGTTGTTGAGTTCTAATTGTGTACCATATGGTCTGGTAGAGTGCAGATAATTATTTCAGTTTTCTTATAATTGGTAAGACTTGCTTTATGTCCTAAATATAATCTGTTTTGGAGAAAGTTAGGTATGCATTATGCAACAGTTGGATGAAATACCCTGTAGATATCTGTCAAGTCCCTTTAGTCTATTGTATCATTTAATTCTGAGGTGTTACTGGTTCTACCAGCAGATACCACGTTGGATGAAGGATTGCCCATGCAGTGAGATTTTACACTTGTTTTAATAGTTTAATAATTTAATTCTACCATGGGCCAAGGAATGAGTTTAACCAACAGAAATGATTAAAACTGAAGGTGTCTTTCCCTTCCTCTGCTTTTAAGGGGTTTCAGGGGTTTGCTCATGGTAATTTCAGGAACAGATCCAAAAGGTGCATTCCAAGGGTAGTTCACAAGGTATCAGGAAGCAGAGATAAGTACATATAGGCACACATCCTGTGTGTACTTTCTGCAGGATTACTGCAGAACATCAATCACTAAGAACCAACCACACACACACACACACACACACACACACACACACACGAAATTCACAGATAAACCACAAACACTTGCCAAGTACATAAAGTATGGAATAATGTGCAGTTCTGACTTATGTGGATATGGGAACTACTGCTAAACATTTGCTGTTTTCAAAAGTTTGATGACGCGCAAGCATTACAGAAATGTGTGTCATGGTTCTGCCATACACTGAGGGAAAATTCTCAACCCTAACCAGCCGCTTTTTCTTATACATGCTTCCATTTCTCCTCTAGAAAGCATGAATAACTTGGATTCTTTTCTTGTTTTAGACAGCTCTAATCGACCAGTAGAAGTGACGGCACTGTACTCCTTTGATGGGCAACAGCCTGGGGACTTGAGTTTTCAAGCTGGAGACAGAATAACAGTTATTTCAAAATCTGACTCACATTTTGATTGGTGGGAAGGAACACTTCGAGGTCAAACTGGCATTTTTCCAGCCAACTATGTATCCATGGATTAAATTTTATATAATTTTCTTCTTTGATAGTAAAAAAAAATTATTTCTACACTGACAGGATTTACCGTTCAGCTAAGCATTGTTTAATGTAAGTTTAAAACACTCCTTCAAACTTCAGTTGTAAAAGTTTTTTCTCTTTATATAAATACTTAACTTCCATGTCTTTGAATATTTTGTACTAATTTTATACCACATAATATCTCAGAGCTAACACTCAGGTTTTCTGTGGTCACGGTCCTTTGTGTAGATCAGATATCACTAGGCCTGCAATTCAGCCATGTACTTTGTTTAGTGCAGAGGAAGGTATGGATTGCAGAGAGTGATCAATTTCCTGGGACCCTGGTAATGTTTTTACCATTCTGTTTTAACAAGTTTTGGAGGATGAAATTAGATAATGGACATGGAGACTTGTAGCCCCCAGCTGGACAGAGTAGGGTCACGCTAGAGGTACCTGCTTTTCCCACTGGACTCCTGGAGTTCGTGTTCATGTTTGCAGCACAGTGTTGGACCCAGGGAGGGGCTGTTCTCACAGCACAGAGAGGATTAAATGGTCAGTTGTTTTCTTTTGTGCCTGAATTGGCACTTGAACTTGGAGCCTCCCACTCAGCTTTCGCTTTGAGCTGTGCCTCCTCCAGCTTTCTGCTAGTTAATTGGAAATAAGAATCTTGCTGATGTTTCTGTCCAGGCTGGCTATCTCAGCCTTCCGACTAGCTAGAATTTTAAGTATGAATCACCAGCACCCAGCATAAAAGCCTATTTTAATTTTACACATGTGCATGGAACTTCTAACTGGTGGTTTTGACTGCAGTTCTCTTGCAGCTAATTGATGGCACCAAAGGGAACTGCTCCCTTGCAAGTGCTGAAGTGTGTGATAGAACTCATTTAGTGGGGAAGACCTCAACAGTGTCTAGAAGTGGAGACCACTACCTCCTGTTTAACTTCATTCTCCATTTTTTTTTTTTGTCAGTCATGGGGCCTGAACTAGGCCTGAGCACTGTCCCTCAGCTCTTCAACTCAAGGCTAGCACTCTACCACTTGAACCACAACACCACTTCTCACTTTTTCTGCTTATGGGGTACTGAGGAATTGAACCCAGGGCCTCATGCATGCAAGGCAAGCACTGTCCCAGTAAGCCACCTTCCCAGCCCTCTCCATTCTACTTTGAGGAGTCATAGAAACTTGGTCTTCTCTGCCTCAAGGCAGGCCAAAGAAAGTAGATTTCCCTTTCCCCAAAACAAGCCATAGAGCCTAAACACATGGATATTTCCCTACTCCTCTGTCTTACAGTCTTAGATCTGGTCATAAACAGTTTGACCTGCTTTTTGTGATAAATTGTAACACCTGCTCCAGGGGGTCCTGCCCATGTCTGGGAGGAAAGATGGCTATACCGTGAGATCAAAATATTCTGTATAGACACAATTCTACACAACCTTTCTTCAACCTTACCATGACACTCAAAATGATGGTACCTTACATTTCTCTTGTTAACTTGTCTTTTGGAATAGCAATGTCAGCTGTACATTGAGCAGGAAGAAGGACATGTTCTCTTTACTCCTTCTACAGTTGGCAAGATTCAGCCTTCTTCATAAATGACACAGTAAATATCTTCCCTGTACAAGAGTGTGCACACAGTGATTAAAACTGTAAGCCCAGCGGCTGGGAATGTGGCAAAGTAGTAAAGTGCTGGCTTAGCATGCATGAAGCCCTGAGTTCAATTCCTCAGTACCACATAAACAGATAATGCCAGGAATGGTGCTGTTGCTCAAGTGGTAAAGTGCTAACCTTGAACAAAAGAAGCTCAAAGACAATGCCTAGGCACTGGGCAAGCTCAAAAAAAAATTATAAGCCCAGGACCAGCTTTTGTGATTGACCTTGAACAGTTTACCCAGCTCTGGCTTAACCAGTTTTCTTAAGTGACCAGTAGACCTAACTGGTAGATAAGATACAATGCAAGGAAAGTTCACTTTTTCATGTTGCTAGGGTTTGAACTCAGGGCCTCAAGCTTACTAGGCTGGTGTTGTACCACTTGAGTGACATCTTTGGCCCAGCTTTTGTCTGGTTGTTTTGGAGATAGAGTCTAGTGAATTTTTCTGTCTGGGCTTGCCTCAAACCACAGCCTCCTAAGAAGCTAGGATACCAAGTGTGAGACTCCAGCCCAAGGCAAACAAGCACTTTCATTCTCCTCCACAGTAACCTCCCCATGTCCTGGAGCAGAGATGACTCATTAGTGTACATCATGATACTTGGGACGCCTCTAGGAAGCCAGACTCTGTGAGGCCTACATAATTCTAGAGCCCGTTCTCTGACCTCTTTATCAGCAGAATAGAGGAGGTATCAAACCCTGCAAGGTCAAATGCTTTCAGTCCATCTGCCTTCACTTGCAATACCTGCCCAAGAGGCTCCAGAGATCTCACCAGATGTGGAGGGTGGCTGTTGAATCTGGAGGAAGGTAGATGTTCACTGTTGTGGAATTTCCCTTCATAAGTCATATGGAGGCACTGCCAAGGCCCAACCCTTTTTAGAGTACCTATTTTATTTATGGAAAACTGAATGAGGCTATCTTAATAGGTAGGCAGAACATGAGCACAGTAGCCTTGGACATTTTTATACTATGTAGAAAGCTATAGGGAAAATAAAACTGGTGGTGGATGGGAACAAGGGTGTGGCTGCACTGTAGATGACAGGATGACCTTCCAAAGTGAGACCCAGACTGAGAACTGATCAGGAAAGTGCTGGTCTGTGGTGTGGCCACTATAGTTAGTATCAATGTGTCTTAGTCCTGCAAATCACCGAATTCTAAGTGTTTTCACCACACACAGACACACACAAATAATATATGAAGTAATATACATAATAATCATAGTTAACCAGTCTACAGTGTAAACTTAATCCAGAACAGCTTGTATATGACAAAACATACAATTTTACTGAACAATTAAAATAATTGTTTTAAAAAGAAAAAGCAACTTGAGTTGACACACATGAAAGTCTTCTAATCAGAAGAAACAGTGATCACCAAAACCTCAAGAAAAAAGGCAGAAAGGAGGCTTTTGTCCACCAGAAGCATAGCCCTACCACTGGAGGGTTGTGTCCAGACCTGTCTGCATTTATCTTTTATTTAAAAAAAATGTTACTCTGGGTAACACACTTTCATTCATCTGTACAGTGGAGTTTCATTTTGACATATGCATACAGTGTACTCTGATCATTCGCCCTCCAACACTGTCCCATATCTCATCTTATACACACCTTCACACACACCTTTTTTTGTGCCAGTCCTGGGGCTTGAACTGTGTACTATTCTGAGCTTTTTTGCTCAAGGATAGTGCCCTACCACTTGAGTCACAGCTCCACTTCTGGTTTTTTGATGGTTTATTGGAGGTAAGGGTCTCATGGACTTCCCTGTCTGGGCTGGCTTCAAACTGTGAGGCTCAGATTTCAGCAGCCTGAGTAGCAGGATTACAGGTGTGAGCCACCAGCACTTGGCTTCCTCCCCTTAAGCCAGTCCCAACATGCTTTACAAGAAGGATGCAAAGTGATCCAATACAGTCTTCAAGAGGGGTGCTCCAAGAGTTCCATCAAAGAAAAAACCTGTGGAGTATTATGGAAAATAAAGGGCTGTGGACATGATGATCTGAGCAAATGGGTTATGCAGTTTATGGAAGGCTTGTGGGACAAATACAGACTCCAGCTATGGTGTCTGTAGACAGGAAGACTCAAGAAGCAAACAAGGATTGGAACTGCACAACAGCAATATAGACAGGAGATATTTGGAAAGAGTAGAAAAGGACTGGAGGAAGACTAATTTTTAGCCACACCAATGTTAGGTGACCACTAGACTTCTGAGCAGACTGTGAGTAGGATCTGAAGGTGGATCTGGGAATACCTGATGCAAAGTTCAACCTTCCAGATGTGAAAAGAGACGTGGAGAGAGTTTTTGTGGGCCCATACCTGTGCATAGTTCCTAATAGAAACAGAGTAGCCAGGGTAGTTTATGTTTCAACAGTAACAACCCAGTAGAGCAGACATTTCAAGCTTGGGAAAATGGTGTTCTAAGCAGAGTGGACAGTCTAACAGAAGAAATGAAGTTTGTTGTCCTTTAGCAGTTCCTTAAACTATGAGGAATGCCAGGCTGTCTAAACTAGCAAGCACTTGGGGCAGCGCTTCCAGAGCATGTGAGACAAGTAGAGTCAGCCTCAAATTTCCGTGCTTACATTCCCAGCAAGGCATGAATAAATCCTTAGGCTAATAGCCTAAGAATCCACAGGTGAAACTATGCAACACTTACAGCTACTAAATCTCAGGAACGTCTGATTTAGTGCTCAGAACTTGTAAATCATGTAAGAACTCTGAAAGGTTTAAAATCCTTTAGGAGCTGTGTAGATTATACACTTCAGTGCCAAATGCATTCATTACTCATCTGTATATAAAAATAAATTTTAAAATAACTTAGGCCATTTTGGATAATTGTTGGCTTTAGACTGTGCAGTCTGAATATAAACCTGTTTCTGCCAAGGATTGACCAATTCAGTCCAGATCCACTTTTCTCAGTTGGGGGCCAGTGTCACTGGGAGCTGCCCAAGCATTGTGAAGGTGAGTTGAGTGGGCTAGATTGTCCTGACACAGCAAGGAAAGCACAGTGGAGCTCAGCTGTTAAATTATGAAGATTAATTAATAATTGCTAAAAAGTCTCATACAAACCCACATCAGATGATTTCACCTTAAAATGCAAATTAGGCAGGAACAAAAAAATCCTAGCCTCTAACTTGAGATGGAGTCTGTACCATGTGTAGGATAAATCAGTTGAGTACCTGATTGTTAATAAGAAAAGTTATTTTAAAATAGAGATCTGTTTGACGATCAAACCTCGAGCCAATTCTGTACCGGATCCCGTGAGAGGAAGGCAGGTAGAGTTGTCACCAGTGGGCTGATGTTGCCCACAGCTTTCTTCTGAGGAAGACGTGGGAGGTCGGGCTGGAAAGGCTGCATTGCCTGCGGACATGCTACGCTGTAGGCACGCTCTGCCAGTGAATGTGGGCCTTCAGGTAGAACCTGCTCTTCCAGATGGGAACAGTGGCACCTTGTTTTTTGAGTCAGCGGCTGCCTCCCTTCAAAAGGGAGGGTGAACGTTGGAGCTGTACCACCTGGATAGCATTACTTACC